GGAGGATTTATAACCATTATAATTATGAAATGCCATTTTAATTTTTTTATATGATTAACATTCACTTCGAGTTCATCAACACAAAATGAAAATACGTGATTATTCAAAATGCAATTGTTGAATGGTCTAAAATTATCTGTTTTATTCTTTCACAGGCAATTATTATACACACGATTCAAATGGCCAATTATTAAAGTACTTAAAAACTTATCAAGTAAATCCGACCGAGGATCAAAACGAAGAGCATCAAAATACGGGACGCAAATATCTACCAGAATTGGGTTCGAAACAAGTCCATACAGCCATGAGTTCTACATATTTACTTGAACCGCAGCATTACATGAATTATCCAAAGCAAAAGGAAGGGCCCAATCAACCGGTAAGTATCGTTTCATCGATCATATGATTGAAAAGTTCATAATATAGTATACTCTGCACCTATAGGGAGTGAAAAACTGGAAAGTCTCAGAGCACGTGTAATTTATCAACCGAGGCGAAGCCGAGGCTGATAATCATGTGCTCTAAGACTTTTTTTTTCGCTACATAGGTGTAAATACAATTTCTTTTGTGCTACCCCAACCTAAAGTAACATTTTACTCCCGCTGAGCAAAACCAAAATGTTACTTTAGGCTGGGGGATTCACAAAAAATTGTATTTGCACCTATGTAGCGAAAAAAGAAAGTCTCAGAGCACATGATTATCAGCCTCGGTTTCGCCTCGGTTGATAAATTACACGTGCTCTGAGACTTTCTAGTTTTTCGCTCCCTAGGTGCCAAATATACTATGTATCGATTCCAATCTTTGACATTAAAAATGTTTCTTTCTCGTTTTCATTCCATTCCGGCAAATATTTCATTTTTATAGATGCATAATGGGGCACCAATGACAGCAACAGTAGTTCCTCCATTAAATTATGCTTATCGGCAACAACATTATGTGCCAGCATCTATGGAAATTGACGATTATCCGATTTATGAAACTTCTCATGGGTCGCAAAAAAACTCGCCTGCGGTGCCGCAATCGTCCCAGTATATTGATCTTCGACACCAGCAGCAAGAGCAGCAGCAGCAACAGCAGTTTGTTATTCGGAATTCACAGTCGAGTAATGCCGATTCTTACAACACACAGGCGGCAACTTATGCTCAAGATAATACACTAGATAAGCAACAACAACAGCATTACCAAATGCAACAACAATATTATGTTCCCATTGCCCTAGTTGAACAAATAATGACACAACTACTTGAGCAAGCCGGAATTAAGAGTGCTACTGGCGAGGGCGTACAAGTACGCGTTGAGGTAAAACCTTTGAATTTACAATCAAGCTTATTGTCTCTGATAATTTTGTGAAGAATTTCATGCATTAGTTTTGCTTCGCATAAACAAACTATTCAAGAATTATTTATAAGTATGGATAAAGGGATGTAGAAGGGATTCATGGTAAAAATGAACATTTTCGAGAGCTCATTTTGAGATTCGATGGAAAATTTGTCTAAAAAATTATGTTTAAATAAACAAAACAATTAAACGAAAGTATTTACATAAACTGAAAAAGAACTTCGATGAGGAAAACAAAGTTAAACATTTTAATTTTTCTTTGGATTCAAAATATCAGATAGTTTAGAGCTGACATTATATGAATGTTATAAAGGATATACCATTTTTTTAAAGTTCTCGGGTATACATTTAAATATTACTTTTATGACGAGTTTTTCATATTAAAACAAAGTGAGCATTACTGATTCTAATTCGTTTGCACCAACAGTCAAGTCGATCTGAAGAGCCATTGCATCACTTCACCCCTCCATATAACGAGGCGCAAAAGTTTCGCGATAGTCATGCTGGTAAAGATTTGGTTCCGGTTTCTGACAAATATGAAGGTTTCCCACAAAAGTCGGCTTATTCATCCATGTCACTATCGTCACGACCTAGAACTCTGCTTGATTCTTACGTACCAAGCCGTGTAATAGCTGCACAAGATGCTTATAGGTACGTCAAATATCAGTTGTATAAAACTTCTTTTATTATAATTTCCATTGCATTGCATATTAAGAAAAATACATTTATTAACTGCTGTTTTCATTTCAAGATTATTAATATCTTACTTTTTATTCCATTTTTCTCATAATACGATCAATGTGAATGTAGAACGTTTTTCATTTCAGATATAAAGAAAGACCAATAAAACTTGAAGGTGGTTTCTTGCCTTCCAATATGGATTTTAGATATTTTAAGAAACGAACAACCGAAGAGGCTACAAATAGCACTAATGGTTAAACCATTTTTTAAGCTTAATTAGACAAAATAATATCGTGATGATGGCGAACAATTTCAAAATATTTTAAAATATAAATTAAAAATCACTTTGTTATTGATCAATGAAAAAGTGCAAAAAGCTTGTATTTTGAATAAAGTCAAATGAGAATTGCACGAAGAAAGCTCGATTTAACAGAAATACCTTACTGTAAATTGAGAATCTAGTCGTTTTTATTTTTAAATGATACTCGAGAATCAGATTCATTTATATTTAATTTCATTAAAGAGTCACACCTGTTTTTTTTACTATATATGAACACAATGCTTATTCGATTATCATTTTTCAATATTTACTATTTAAAATAAAATCTTGTTTGTTATTTTACCTTAAAAAATATGTTCTAAATACTTCTAAATACTTCAATTATTTCATAGCTTTGCAATACTAGCTTACAATGCCTAGAAGGCATTGCCACTTGTTTTTGGCTATAATTAATGACCAGTGTTAATTGGGAATTTTAAAAATTTTGTAATTCAATCCTCATCCACTTGTAGCAATTTTTTTTCAAATTCCATTGTCTAAATTTGTGTTAAAAAAAGTCTACGATGCCATTTTTTTATTGCAGTAAAATTTGAGACATTGTTTTAGAAAGTTGCTGATTTTATTTGGAAAAAGATAATATTAAAAAGTATTTAAAACTTTTAACATCAATATTGGTCGAAAAATTGCCTAATACCTCGGACTAATTTAGGCATTCAGAGGTATTTGAGGCAAATTTTCTAAGGTAAAAATGCTAGATTAACATAATTGTATACTACATGGTAAAAATTGAAAACTACAATTTATTGGGCATTATTTTTAATTTTTTTCTTAAAAAAATACAGGTGTGGCCTTTCGAAAAAAATGTTATATCTTATGTAATTATAAAGCAAAACTATCTGAGTTTAGCTGCAAATAATAAAGTTTTTAAAATTATGATTCATATCGTATATAAGTATTATTTGTATTATTACGACTCCTTTGTGTAAAAATCAATACATGAAATAAGTCTCACTTTCAGCATTAGCAGACATTGTATACACAGGCTGTATTTGATATAAGAAATAAATATTTAAATTTTTTTATGAATTTTATTTATCAAATCTGTATTTAGATGATTACTGAATCTTTCCATCCCATCAATTTTCTGTAGTAATTTACTTAGTAATGAAAATTTAAATTTTTACTATGGTAAATAAATGGTTATATTTTAATTATTCTTGGCTAAAAATTAATGATAATTTTTTTATCCAATTAACTTCACTAAAATTATTTTTAGTTCTGTTTTAATCTAGAAATTAAAAGTTTTATGATGCATTTTGGGTTTTTTATAATAAATCGGTCAATATTATGTATCATCACAATGAATTAAAGTTTTTTAATGTGTGAATTCTGTAAATTTTAAAATATTTGGTTACAAAATCCTTGACCTTATTTTCCACTTATCCATCCATTCATATTTTCCACATTTTTTAAGTAATGTGCATAATCGCTATCACTTTCTCGTTTACACTATTAGTGATGCGTCGAAAATTCGAGTGTATAATTAATACGTGCCAAAAAATATTTATACTTTACGAGAAAAGTAAGAGTGCAGGAAAGTTTGAATCCGTTTCCATACGCATACGTACATAGAATAGAAAATCTTTATTAAATTTACTACTCCTTTAGCAAGCATATGAATGAAAGGTAATGTGTATCAATGTAGTAAAGAGTGCATTGCTAATGTAATAATGACTTCACGCTCCAAGCACTTGCTGTTTTTATAATGTATATTGAATTTTTTCTCACACAAAATCAGAAATCCGTAAAATCTATTTTTAACCAAGACAGTTGAGTAGCCATTACAATCCTATTACGTGAAATTCCTAAATATAAATTTTCAAGCAAAAGTAAACAACTTAACTAATAGCTATAGTATAATTCAGTTAATATGGACTTAAATATTAAACGATATCCATTTAAGAACTTGAATATTCCGGTAGTCTTATCTTTTAAGTTTAATATCATTTTATGTATTCAGTACATGGTAGAATGTATGAGTTTTTAGTTGAATAATATTATTTATATTTTCAGTATCAAATACTTATAATTAATAGAATTTCAATGTTGTAAATGATTAAAAAGTGAAATCGTCTCCTTTTAAAATTTCTGAATCAAAAATTTTGATAAATATATTTTAATCACCTTCTTCTATTTAATAAATTTTATTAATTGTAAATTATTAAAATTCTAAGTTCAGTCGCAAATTTGAGTCTTTTCTTATAACCTTTATCTCTTTTGATTACCCTATTGCGTGACTTCTAAAGATAGGTTTATTGTGTTAGCAAATCTATGGCTTTTTTATATACTTATAAACATGAAAAAATTGATCTAAAATGTCCATCCTCGCTATAAGTAACTTTCAAATCCTGTTGAGAAATTCGAAGATGCATAATGATTTACTTATTCTATCAAAGCATACAAGAACCATCCCACTTATTTGAGCGACGCATTAAAAAAGATGGTGAGTTGTTGTGACGTTAAACCTAACAAAACTTCATAACGCGCTTATACCCATTACAAGTACAGAGAAGAGTAAACAAAAAGTTCCAATGACAGAATAATTTGCGAAAGGTATATAAGGTGGGATGCTGCTTTTCCCATCTCATCATCGCCATCCCGGACGTATGATCAGACGGCACAACAAACGCAACTTGTCCTTCGAACCGGTAACATCATACGCGCTCACGCGTGTATAGGAAACGCTACCGACAAGCTGCTGTCAGCCGTGATCCACCAACATGAAGTTTCATCAAATAGTTGCCGTGCAGGTGAGTTGTTTATCTAGATACGCAAGTATATATGTAGACGTTACATTGCTTTAATTTAAAATAATAAACTTAATTTCCTGATCAGTTGGATTCTTTATATGGTTGGGCCTCTGGGTGATCTAACTTGATTTTTATACTAAAGTTTTCGGTGGGACTGATTTTTGATGATATGTAGAGATTGTAAATCAATCAGTCATTTAAATAAATTTTTTTATTTTTAAAAAAGTTTCCGTTTATGTTTAGTTACTTGAAAGTTTGAATTTTTCAAACGCGTTCTGGAAGTACGAAATTATTTGTGTTTGACTAGATATTTTGTTCAATGATGCAAAATATGATACAACGTAGATAATATTGGTTGTCATTAACGTAAACCAAAAATATACCAGCCGAATTCATTGAATTAAATAAGCATTTTTCTTCAAGAGAAAATTTTTATTTATGAGACATTTTATAATTTTGTCTCATGAACATAGTTTCAATGATCATTGCTATTATTTTGACGAAGAATCCGAGCAATTAAAGAATGAAAATACGAATTTAAAATGAACGGTCACGATTAATTTCACTATAATATCATGGGCTATATAAAAAAAGAGTTTTAAATTCAAACAATATAATTCAATCAATTATGTTACTCTTAAAAAACACGAAAATTAAAATTCGAAAATAAAAAAAACACATATATGAAACTAACAGTAAAAAATGTTTTGTTTCGGATGCCTAGACCAGACAGAAAAATAATTTTTATACCAAAAAATAATCCCTGGAAAATGTGAACCTGGAAAAGGTAAAAACCTTTGCTACTGGTTGAAAGTTACTGTAATCATTTTTTTCAAAAATTCTTTGAAAACTTCTGGATAAATTCAGACGTATTTTTACATTTACTTTCCAACTTTTTTTAGCATATTTTATAAAAGTTGTTCGTTTTATAAATGAAAATATGGGAAGAATTGATAATGTCTTTTTTAAGGCTATAATTTTTCTAGAAGTGGTTTTCATTATTTTTTGAATTTTTTGAATTTTTCTTTTCTAAAAAAAACGATTTTAGCGACAAAATGCGAAGAACGAAAACTTCGTAGAATCGAGGATAGAAAACGTGTGACTTTTTTTTCAAAGTATTTTTAGAAAAATGAGAATAAACATTTTTGCCAGCGGCACAAATCTCTTTCATTTTCAAGGGTTCAAATTTTATATTGTTTTTTTGTGTATAATTTTGTAGTTCAATATCTTTGAAATGACGGTTTAATATGCATATATCTGCAAAGTAATGCATCTTTTGCGGTGCAATGCACCTCAGTCAAGCACCTTTCACACATGGATCTCTCTATCTGCACGATTAATTATGCATTCATCGAGATCACTTCAGGTGCACTGGCTCTGCAGCTATTATTACGTAGAAACCGCTGCGATGTTTTGGTAGCTTATTGGATTACAAGCGCGCTCGATATTTGTGATGGCTTTAGATAAACGGTAAACCAGCTGTAATTGTGGACCAAATTTATATTAAAAAAGTTGTAATGATTTGAGTTATTTGAATCTTGATTCTTCCTTATCACGATCTTTGTGTAGTCTTTTCATGAAAAAATAAGGGATTTCATATGCTCAACACGGATATGTTTTCCAAATTATCGTACATATGATCCCCGTAACGACTGATTGCTTAAATTCTCTAATTACGATTGTTTTCTTTTAAAAGAATTTAATTTACATTTTACGTTATCAACGATGCTGCAAAATCATAAAATATCCGTATGCTGGGTTGTGATCGGGGACGCAATGATCCCATTAAAAATGCACAAAATGCTTTGATTATGGTCTCTCGATGCGTTTAATTAAGGCGAACCCAAAGTGTATATAAGCGTCCGAAACGTTTATGAAGGCACAATATATTTTATACTTCCTTAAATAAAGCTACGCGAGTAATTGTGTTTCTTTTTGTGCTCGAGAGAAAGTTCAGATAGCTCGCACACATTATACGTGTGTACTGTATACGTATTATACGGTAAATGCGTTTACTTATGCCTATATGAAAGTATATGTGTTGAGATATGTGTATAAAACAAATGGACATTTGCTTTGATTAAACGTGTGACAATAAGAACTTCTTCTGAGCACAAGTGAAAGTATTTTTATGTACTATCTTACTGCGGATGTAAAATAATATTTCAATAATTGGTATGAGTTTAAATATTGATAGCTTAAAGCTTTCGATGATTTCGATTGTTTTTGATAAAATTCATAATTCAGACTATTGAATAATTTTACGTATACTAGGCCATGTGGTCTGAACGTGTAGTTTTTTGTAAAATGTTATAAAAAGACTATAAAATGAGTTGTTAATTTTTATTGAAAAAATATTTCAAGCCTCACTCTGAAATTTAACGGTTCTTTTCATAAATTATAACTTAAACTTTTGGAAAGCGCAGCATTTTGGAGCTTATTTTATTGACGAACTTTCATGATACGGTTTCATTACAATCAAAACGATTATGAAATGTTACTTTTCTTCTAAAACTATATCGATTAATTGAACTTTTACGTTTGATCAAAATTATTTGAATTTTATTACTTCTTGCATCATAGTTTAAATTATAAATTAAATGATGCTGTTATTAATTGAGATTAAAAGATCAATTGTTAAATCGAACCCATGAATCATATTGTTTAAAAACGTAATATTTATTTGAAATAAATATGGGGTAAACTTGATGTTATCAAAATATTAAATTTGAATATTGACACAAAAGTAAAATGTTTGCATTGAAAATTTATAGAAAAAAATTTAATTTAAATGACCACAAAATTATTTTATCGTTGACAATGAGTTATAAAGCAAAATGAGAATAGTACAACGATCTTGAAAGTGGAGTGAAAGTCAGAATTCAATTAAACAGGCAGTCCAATCGACTCTAGATTGCTATATTCTTGAAGATTACAATGTGCATAAAGATCATTGAATTCTCAAGTATGCGGAAGTCACACCATTGCACTTACAAAAAATTGCACATTAAAATCAAAGTCTTTTGCTATAATTTTCATTTTCTTTGAGATTTTAATGCCTAATTTTTAATTGCAATAACGAAGACGTTTTACTTTACAGATTTTGATTGGTATCCTAATTTGCTGTTCAATAGCTGCACCGAATCGTGAATATAAAGAAGATACAACATTAAAAAAGAAAAATTCAGCTGCTGCAATATTTACTGATTTAAATCAAAAAAATGCACCAGATAAAATAGAAACGAATCTTGATTTTCCTCGGTTATCATTTAATATTTTCTCAGATTTTGTTAATGACCATGTTCCTTATACAACTGATGATAAAGTAAAAAGAGCTGTTGTAAATAATCTTGGTTACGGCTCTCAAAGTAACAACTTTTTTCCTCATAAAAAATATTATTTTTTACCTCCTGCGAAGATCAGTACTTCCACGCACTTTTCACCAACAATAACTAAGCTTGCATCTTTATCAGACCATTATCAAATAAATGATGTTGACGAATTACTCAAAGAGGTGGATAAGTTATATGATGTTTCTCAAAAATCAGGATATTTCTCATCAAATGTATCTTCACAAAACTACACACAAATTAAATTTCAATCTATTGAAACTCCCAAATCTAACACAGAGACACTGAGTACTTATAAGAGCCCAATAAGTAGTCAATACTTCTTTTCTATACATCCGATTGCAACAAATTTCAACCTAAAATCAACAGAGTTTTATGAAAAGGATCATAATGAAAACAATCAACAATATTATGCAAGGACTAAGAATGTTGGTTCTAGTTTAAAAAATCAAAGGGACTTGAATATTGAAAAGTATCCAAACACTAAATTTGAAAATGAAATTAGGTCAATTCAAAAGATGATACAGAAGTATAACGACGAAAAGTCAACGAGTATCCAACCAATATCTTATGTCCATTCTTATGCTGAATTTGTTGAATTTCCAAAAGTTAAACCATCTTTAAATAATATTCCTACAAAACAACATAATAAGCAAACAACTTTTTCCGAAGAAGATTTCTATAGCACACAAGAAAAATTATTATCAGTAAAGCCAGTTCAGTTCCCAATAGCTGAAGATAATGATTTTAATAAAAATGCGCGAGTCCAACTAGATATAGTTTCCCCAAAAATATTGATAAATTCCAGTAGAAATAAAATAATCGCATCAGATCTAATTAGAGATTCAAAAGAAAAAAAAATTAATGACAGCAATTTGATTAATATAGTGCGATCTTTTTTGAATCATCGTTATAATACTGATCAGTGGCTTAATTTAAAATCGTCTGCAACTCAATCTGTTCTTGACTATATAGGTAGCAAATCATTCACACAAAAAGAAAAAACATCATCTAAATTAACTCCAGAGTTGAATTATCAAATTTCTGAGGCTGACAATAATCCCCACACATTACTAATCTATAATAAGAATCCCTCATTAATTCCTGAAATTGAACCTATGTATGAAAGAATTACCAATGAAAATGTAAACATGCAACGATAAATTAGATATTGCCGTAATTTTTCTTGTTTATATTTTTTTTAATAAAAATAAATATTAATAACATGTGTGAATTTCTCGTATCCTAAAGAAATCTTCGAATTCCAAATCTCTTTTTTTCATAATACTGCATTACTATATTTAACTATATGATTTTACTTACTCATCAGTATGTTTTTGCTTCATTTTACAAATTTTTTTTAAAATCTTATCTGAAAACTATGAAGATGTATAAATACTTTCAGTTGATCCTTAGTAAACGCTGAATTTATAAAAATTATCTCATGTTCATTCTCCATAAAGTTATTTTACGGTCTGTTGAGCATTAATCTGTAAGCAATAAGAAAGTTGCAATTATGATTATAGGGTTTTTTGTGAACTAACAATATATTAAAAATCTTTCGAAAAGAAAAATGAACTTTAAATTTCATTATTAAATGAAGATCTTAACTCAATCGAAAATGAAAAAAGAACTGCATCGCTTGGTGAATTTGACGAGCAACTTCTAAACGATAGCAACTACAAACTGTACTCCAATTAGTGAGTGAAGGTGATATAAAGATAAGATGTCCATTATAAAATTGTTAATGCATGATAATACATCACGAAACCTATTACACTAAACTTTTACATTTTCTTTTGATAGTTAAAAGAAACCATGAGTTATTGAAGAAGATCTCGCGATTCAAGTCTTTTATATTTTAATATAAAACTTAAAATGAATAAAATAAATATTAATTGATACAATGTAAGATATAAATGATTGTCTCAAATTAGATAAAAGATTAAAATACAATTATTATACTGAGTTTTTATAATATTTTTTATAATACCTTCATTTGTCAACTAGGACTGGATCAGAATTAAAAGAGATTTTTGAAAGAAATTCTTTTCATGTTCTTGTACATCAGTAGACGAAGCTCATGAACATTGAGCATAATGTGTGTGTGTGTGTGTGTGTGTGTGTGTGTGTGTGTGTTTCAGAGCGCATAGAAACGGCAATCTCAAAAGCAATTTCTAGTTCTATGTTTGAACGGACGTGAATATCCTATGTACTTTATTAGTAGTGTACGTATTTGTTATGAATTCAATGGATATGAATAGAATTTATATTCGTTGTTTAAATTTTACAACATTTTTGGACGTTTTCAAATTATTATAATTCATAATTTATGCGAGCTCTTAAAGTCATTGACTTATTCTTACATTCAAGAATTCATTGAACTTGTATAACAAATTGATACTGTGCGAAATTATTGATTAGGTACCTGATTAACGACAAAAATGTATCTTTTTCTCAAAGAGAAATTAGATTATATATGAACATGTTTATACTTATGGCAACAAGAGCAATCAAAATGACTCATTGGTAGAAAAACTTTGAACTGAAGTCCAACAAATCGTCTATTTCCTTCAAGTAATTATTTTCCGTTTTTTCCAATAAATTTTTTCCAAGCAATTTACTTTTTCACTTTTACTCTGAGATTGCTTCGTAGCTTCTAGATAGAGAAACAAGAAAATCATAAAGTAGGTAATACAAATGAGAGCATTGGCTATAGGAAGGTGTATGTTTATCGTTTCTGGGTTGATAATGAGTAAGTAATATTCACATATGTGCTGATACACGACAAATGAAAATGGAAAGTCAAAATTGTCTATTTTCGATACATGCGAATATATGTATGTGTGTGCGTGTATGTGGACATAGGTGCATACACATACGGCGAAGGAAAATCAAACATCAACACTGGCTCCGCCGGTGGTAATCAAGTCTTCAGCGCGTGACATGAAAAGTAGGTGAATCAATGCAGCACCTGCTTCATAAATATATGTGCTGCTCGCGAACGAGCAAGGATCTTTATTTTTTCCCTTTTGTCTTTTCCTTTTTCTCCTTCTCCTACTCCGGAATTCCATACAAGCAGTTTTCATTTCGCTAGAAGCGTGCGTATGTGTGCGCCCGAGTGAGATATCTTATATACGCTATTGCTAATATGAATATACGTATATGTGCGCTTGCATCCTTTAACGGACAATAATTTTGCCACTAACCATTGCACTCGAGCCCGTACTCATAGCATGGCATGCGCCGTGCATCGTGAATGAAAGTATCCTGCATGCACGTATGTATATAGATATACGTACGTACGTGCGTCTATAATAAGCGTACACGCGTATGCACATGTGCATGTATACATGTAGTAGCGAGCTCTTTTCTTCGAGACTAGCAGGATAATATTTAGAACGATATTTTTCACTTGGTTACCAGAGTGTATAAAGAAAATCGTGCATCTACTATGTGGCTCAGTTATCGCGTAGAGCCTCGCCACGGAGCAAGCAAAGACTCCTCCTTGCCGAGCAAAGTGTGTTAGCTGCAGTTTTGTACCGCGACGCAAAGCGAACGAGCACGAGAGCATCCTCGCTTGTACGTATCGAGTGATTTAGTTGTTGCTGCAGTACGATACAGTGTGCCTTCGCCGTTACGCTTCGATTCTCTAAATTCAGCTAGAGTGACCAATGTCTCGTTTTATTGGCCTTCAGAGATAACTCTGAAAATCGGCGCAAAAATAAATCATTACCTGCAACACGAAGAGATTGTGTAATAAGGATGAGGGCCATAATGGGCCTCTATCCGGTGAGTGTGAAGTGATTTTTACAGCTGTAGTTATGTGATCAGTGACAGTTTTGATGCAATTAGCTTGATTTCTTGGTAAAAACAATTTAGAAAAAACGGGCTTTTAAATTGTTTCATATACATTATGTGAATCTAAACGAAAATTTATCTCTCGAGCTGAACTTTTTCAAGTGTGATCGTTACAATCAAATTTAAATTTCGTCTTAAAAAGCTTTAAATTACATTAAAAATTAAATATTTTCTAATTTATGCAGAGTTTTATAACATAATCAAGATAGTTTTATCCGGATATAGTTTTCAATTCCAATACAAAGTTTTTCAAGAATTTCCGTGATAATTTGTAACTGCATTTACTTAAAATGATCATGGGCAGTGAGAAAGTCTATAAAGTTTTGGTCTCATGCACATTCAGTGCTGATTTGTATAATGTGCGTGTTTGCTAACATTTTACTTTTCCAGTCTGCGCATGATTTTTAGGTCATCCTTCAACTTTCAATTGACCTACTATTAAAGAATTTTAAATATACATGATTTTTTTTTAATTGAAAACTGGAACTTTTGTATCATATTTAAAAATTACAAAATAACTATGAAACAAAACTTTGAAAGTAAAATCGCTAAATTGAGCTTTATTTTTTAGGTATTACTTATCATATTACTCTGGCATAATGCGAAAACTGAAGATATCGAAGATTTTTCTATTGAGTCAATATTAGATCAAGTAGCAGTCCCAAGTCAAATAATTAATGAATTCGTTAAAAAGACCGAAAAACAACCAACTATTGAAAAATATTCAAACGATGAGTTCGAAGATTCCACTGTTCATTATGAAAATTCAAATGGTTTCGTACCGTTAATAATATCAAATCAAAACAAACAGACTCAAAATAATAAAGATACGAGTCAGCTGGTGAATAATATTAAAAGAAAACGTAAATTTAATAACGTAGATCAAAATGTTTTTCGTAAAGTTGACCAAAATCATTCCCAGTCAGTGCACGATAAAGATAATCGTCGATCATTTCGCATCGATGAAAATCGCGATGATTTTGAGTTGCTCAAAGTTAGTAATGGAACTCCATCAATAGCGAATTATGATTCATTTTATGATCATTTGAAGGCAACATCTACTAATTCGGACAATCCACAAGCTAAGAAGAAAAATTCTCACAATAAAAATAGAGAAAGAGGTAAAAGAATTCAAAATTTTCACGGAAATTATGAAATAAATAGTGGAAATACTGATCATAATTCTAATAAAAATGATGAAAAAAAAATAACTCAACCAAAAAGAGCTCAAAATTATTATAAAACTGACATCTCAGATAATAATCGTGTGCAAAATGTGTCGATAGTCAAAGCTAATTCAGTTCCATCGACCACAACTGTGGTATCAATTGTAGAAGCTCAAGTGATAAAGAATGATAAAACTGACGTTATCAATGCATACAAACCAGCAAGCCCGGTTCAGCCTAATATTTATAAAAATGAATTTAAAGCTAATGAGCAAAAAGTAGCGCCCGTTTCTTTAAAATTGAAAAATAGTCCCAAGCATGCAGTCGTTACGGAGCAGTCATTCGACGCAAAAGGAAATAGTAGACATTATGAATCTGCTGACTCCGGTGATTTTTCTAATGAAAATACAGATTACGTGGATGTTACTGATAAACCTCGTCGCACTCATAAATTAAATAGAAAACGCCCGCAAAATTTTGAATCAACTAAAAAATTGCCCAAGGAGCATAGGCAAACTTACGAAGATTCTTACGATGATCAAGATAGAAGAAGGCCTTCGACGAAAACAAAATCAAGGTATCGTCAAAAACCCAAGCAAATAGTGAATGAGGAGTATGATAATTACGATAATTACGATGAAAATTCAAGCCGTTACTCAAATGCTAATAAATTTAATGAAGGTAATGGATGGAGTCAAATTACTCCCAATGTTGAAGTTTCGCAATCTAACGGATTTCAGCTGAACCAAATCGAAAAACCCAAACTCCATATCATTCCAATAAATATAATGACAAATTTTGATCATGCTACTGCTCTCGACAATAGCCAAGGCTTTGATATAAGTAACGCCATGATAACGGGCTATTCTGGAGAAAAATCGTCTGGAAGTACATCAAATCCGGTATACAGTTCTTCGTCATATGACGACGATGAGTTCGTAGCATCTTCAACGACGTCTAGACCGCAAATTAGTATGTCAACGTCGGTGCCTGATATTATTGTTGGACATAGCTCCGCTCATAATCCCGTTCGAGCGGTATTTTTCCCAAGTGACATGCAGAAGAACTTGCAAAATCAAGGAGGCGTTCAAAGTACAGTATCACCGGTTATTCTCGCAGTAACACCACAAACTAATTTTGAGGTATCATCTACTCTGTCTCCAAATATTCATCATATGCTGAACCAGGCCCAGTCATCCTACTTGAACAGTAGACCTCATTCAAATAAAAAACCGCACAAATATAAAGCTTCCGGTGAAAAACCGTATTCTAGCTATTTTCCGTATCCACACCCGACGAGCAGATCAAGCACCCCTTATAAAAAAAGATACAATAATGGCAATGATGCTGAATACATAGCTTCAGCAAGTCTAGCCGTAAGTCAAGGAAAGTATAGACAATCGCATAAGAATACTCGTAATTATAGAACAAAAAATAAAAATTTGAATGATCAAAATATAAAGTCATCGAGCAATCAAGGATCAATGGGATCAAGTTTCAATAGTCCTATTACCCAATCTACTGTAGTTCCAGCAATTTTACATACGGGTATAGGTTTTATTAATAATCAACCGATAGTGCCTAGCACATTATTATTCACAAATCCGCAACAAAATGCCCAAATGTTACAAGCAACAAAGGAAGCTTTGGAAAAGTCCATTCAACAATTGCAATTAAATCTCCAAAATAACCAGTACCAAATAAATAGTTTGAGCAATGCAGATAGCATCGGTGGAGCAAGTAATAATATTAATTCAGTAAACAGCTTGATCAATCCAGTACAAAAAGCTCAATTGCCAATTTTAGGTGCGAAAAATGTTGAAATAATAAATCCAAATCTGCATTCCAATACTTTTGCGATTCAGCAAATACCAACTGCATTGGTAACAACGCCCATCCCAATATTTACTACCACGGGCTTCATCTCAACAAAGCAACCTACGTCTCAAGATAGCGGGGTAAGCATACAAAATGTAATAAACTCATTAACAGAGTATGGTTCAAAAAATCCAAGAAAAAATAATACAAAACTCAATTTTAATTCTCTGATTAATCTTCAGGGCCCAGATAGACAGCAATACAATCCTATTCAATTCATTCCAAATTACGACCTTGTGAAGACTCAATCGATTTTGAATAATAATGTGCCACAAGATTCGCTTACTCAACAAAACCTGAATTTGGTATCCATAGTGCCTGGAGGTAACTTTTATAAACAATCTCCAGGAACTCAAGTTAATTTATCAAATAAGCCAAAGTTGAGCTCAGATCTGGAAAAATATGCCGAAGAAATGTTTAAGGAGTCTTTAAGAACTATTTATAATTCGCACAAGTGGAACAACGATATACGAACATCTATACCTAATACAAGTTCAGTTGACAATTTGGAATTAGCAAGATTAAGGAATGAGTTGCTACGAATTCAAAATAAATTGAAGAATTCCAAAGGAAATAAAGAAGAGTTAGAGGCCCATCATTCAGAGCATAAAATAAAAACATCTAAACCTGGTAAGCATTCGAAGCGACCAGATCTGTCAAATAATGGATCGCATAAAAAGCCCATTGGAATAGCTTCTAGTCCAAATCACCAATCGCATCATAACAAGCAGAAATCTGAAATTAATGACTATTTAACTCCTCCAAAAGTCAATTCATTTGTGTCTCACAGTCAATTCCAGAATACTAAGCCATCTAAAAAGAGGCCTAATAATGGAGTGAGGCCGCATTCAAATCACGATAGCAACAGACTTCGACCAAGGCAAGGAATTGTCATGAGTAAACCAAAAGGATCCGATTCTCAAGCGAGCTCATTGGTGCACTTCAGATATCCCATTCGAGTTCCTGAAAAAAATTATTTTAGTCATTCTGATCATTTTTATCCTCAAGTCAACAACTATCCTTCCTTCACAACACACTCACCTTCACCAAAAAATAATAACAATTTTAAAGCTTCAGTAGAATTAAAATCGGCAGAAGGTGATTATTATGATATGAATAATCAAAGAATGCACAATTTGATGGGTCTGCTAATGAAAAATAAAGCTTTACCAGCTGGCATTCAACAATTTAGTAGTAATAATAATAATAATAATAATAATAATAATAATAATAATGTTGGAGGATTTACAACAGGGCAAATTCAAAATGATGGACATAATCAATTTCAATTTTATCCCTACGTAGATATGAGAGGTTTCAAGAAGAAAGTAGATACGCAACAGCAACCAATTTTATTAAATGGAAATTTAAAAAATAATCGTACCAACGTTTGAAATGTAAAACTATTTAATTGAAGCAATAATTATTTTCAGTCACTAGTTTTTAAACTGAAAATATTGATGATGAATAATGACCAAATAATTTTGATATTACCCTACAATATGAGTGTACTCTTTTTAAATGAATGTTGTTGTATTTAATTATTTTTAATTACTTTTAAGATTAAGTAGCTTAATTGTTGATTATTGATGTTGTATTTTATGGATATGTAAAAAAAATTTTTATTTTTTAAGATATATTTAATACATATTATATTTACGTTTATCTCACTGTAAAGTCTGTACTTGACACATATTGCAAATATGAATAGCTTAAAGCATATTTTATATTATAAAAATATAAAAATAAACATAAACCTTAATTTAGTTGAGTCAGGAGGTGTATCTTAATTTCATCAAAAATGTTCCTCAATACTTGGATAAGTAAAAGTTAAAGATGGTAAGAAAACATTGTATTACCCCTTTATCTCGTTTTGACCCTAGAAATATATCAAATCGTTGCGTGAATGCTTAAACTTTATAATATGGCATTGATTTCATACCAAGTTGTTTTGACGTCAAGTTAATAGAAAAATGTTCGGAGTACAAATATTTTTTATCCTTTATTGAGTTTTTCTAGGAAATTTCAACAATGGGTAACAATTAATTATTCTTTGTTCGATAATTTGAAATATTTTATATATTCAGACTTAAAAAAAACAAAATTGAGTAATTAAAAACTTAAATAATCAACTATCATTTTCAGTCATTTTTTAAAATTCACAATTATTTCGTTAACAATATTAAAATATTTTGAGCATATAACTAAGACATTGTAATTGAAATATTGCAGTACTTTCATACTCACCAATAATGAGAAAGAAATAATCGTACTTTTCGTAAGCTCATTCACTATGACTGTATAGCTGCAGATATCAAGAGAATTGGCTACTCTTTAGTAGTTTTTGTTGCCTTTAGAAAAGAGGGAACCATTCTATGGTTTTGCATCACTTAACACAAGAATATAAAAGAAACAAATTCACCTGCTTGGCGACAGTTCAGCTAGAAATCTGGCCTTTGCCAGATGCAAGTCAGATGGACAACATGTTGGTACTGTATATTTCTTTAAAAGTTATTATAAAACTGATACAATCAGTGCATGTACTAGTGGAAAGTGAATCAGTGAAAATTAATATTAAATTATTAAATCATGAGTGCAGTTTGAGAAAATCCTTTTAAATTTATTAATTTGACTTGATTAGAATCGTGGTTATAAAAATGATATATATTTTTTTTAAATTGTGAAAGTTCATCGTTTTTATCACTTCAATTTACAAAATGAATATCATTACTAGAATGAATATATTTTTTACAAATCTTTGTTTTATCATGATCAAAGTTCAGATTAATTGCGTATTAAATAATAACCGTAATTTTGATAGATCTAAATTGAAGTTCCCTGGAAAAATTTCATTTTAATAAAATTTGATTTAATCCATTCGCCGAAGCAGATCTGCTGGATCATTCGAGAAAAAAGTTAATGTTGGTAGTTTTTAACAATCGTATCGAAACTTTATGAAATAAAATGTAAAATTGACTGTTTTTATAATGCTAATGTTTATTTTAAGGCAACAAGTCCTTCTAAGGGGGGAAAAGATGGTTATATTAAAAAAATTGTGAAAATATGATTTTTTTCTTGAGTGTCCCACATCAGCATCGGCGTTAATGAGTTCAATTATGTTTTGAGTTTTATTTATTATATAATATTCAAATGTGAAAAACATTAGTTTTTTTTAATCTCTTATCTTACAGTAATTTAATGACTTAGTGATTAATTTCGAGGATATTTTATTTACCCGAATGTTCGATTTGCAAATTTATTTTTTTTAGTATCATCATCCGAATCACACTTGTAGATTCTAATATTTTCTGTAACTGCCTAAACATTTTTATAAATTATTTTTGGAAAGTTACTTTGAAAATCTCTAATTTTTTACTCCCTTAATTTTTCAGATATTTTGGATTACCTTTTTCTGTGCTGGTAATCTAGGTCAGTCCGCCGTCTTTAGCGAAAATGTGTGGCCGCAAAACGATCAAATGTTTAATGCTCACATAAAAACATTTTCAAGTAATGGTGCTCGAGGAAATCTCGCAAATTTAAAACATAGCAGAGATATAGCAGATACGAATTTTGGAATTTCAAAATTTCATTTTAATATTAACGAACGCTACGGAGATACTAGTAATGGCCTAAATTTTCAAGACCATAAGAATATTTTCGATTCTGCAAGCTCTACCATTGAAAATCAAGCTATAAATCCAAATTATGATAGCTTTGTAGGGCAGCAAAATTACTTTGTCTCTCAATCTGATGCTGCACAAAATCGTAATAACTTTAGAGCTGCAGTAAAACCCTTATTCAATCCTTATTCCAAAACATCACGTAGTTCACCGTCAGTACCAGTGCATAAACCATTACAATATTATACTCATCAAACTTTACCTTCTAATAACCAACAAAATATTGCAAAACCATCGTATCGAAATTTACCGTATGCAAATTATTATGCCTCAAATTTAGATAACGTGAGAACTAACCCTAAATTTCATGGGTCGTTAAACAACTATAATAAACATTTTCGAAATTTAGATCACAACTCATATGATAATATACACATAACAACCAATTCTCCATTGGAATTGCCAAAAACTAAAGTGGCACCTGCAGTAACCAACTTATTGGGAACTGAAAATTTTCAGAACAATATGCAGTCCCTTGAAGTAAACCCATCAATTTTGAGTGCTGAATCAGGTCTTCAATACAGAACTGAACCTGGATTTAATAAAGCTCATGACTTTAGATATCATAAGCCAAATAATAATAATCAAAAAGTAAAATTTTCTTCGTATAATGATCCTCCGTACACAAATCCTATAAACGTCCTACCTCTGCAAACAAATAATGCTCCCCAGTTGCCAAAGTATAAAGGAGCTGTCGTTCAACCTTATGCAAATCGAGCATTTGCAAAGTTTCCAAATGACTATGAAGAATTCAAATCGCAGCCTCTGCTTCATTTCAATAATAAAGGGAATAATAGCCCTATTCCATTTAATGATCCACCAAAAAAAAATAAGTATAAAACAGGGAAGATAAAACCAGGTATAGAAATTGTTACACACTCGAGCCCTACTTCAACAATCAAAGAAGAAGATGATGAAAATTCTTATGAAGAAAGTAATAATGGTAAGATTTGAGTGCTGTTAAATTTAGAAATATAATATATAATGCATAAATTTAGATTATTTTATCTGCAATAAATAATGTTTACTTAATAATTTTTTGTCGTAGAAAATAAAAATATTGATAGCTATCTACCTAGAGATGAAGATGATACTGTAGATGAACCTGAAAAATATTTTGGTGAACCAGGGTTTGAAAGTAATTTTGAGCCATCTAAAACACATATTTTTAAACATTATGAAGAAGACTTTCAAAATAATAACAAGCCTCTAAGTGAAGCCTATCATGAGGACAATACCAAAGATGACAATTATCAAGTCAATTTAGCAGCTAAATATCGTTACAATATTTCAGAAAATGAAAATGATTATGATAATGAAGATGTAAATAAAAAATCTAAAAAGATAACTACAATCAAGCCAGAATCACAAGATGACTTTTCTGGTCCGTACAGTGAAGAGGAAGAAGATAACACGGAGGAAAGGAAAAAAGAAGAAAATAATTCCAATTCCAGTCTTGAAACAATTTCTCACGAAACTGAAAATAGTTCTAAATTCCCTGTGAAAACATATGCTGATAGTTTTTATAAAAATTATAAAGCAAAGACTAAACAAAATCAAGCTTTAAAAATTCCCAAATCCGGTGAAAGCAGATCATACAGTAGTTTCCACCGAGTAAATTCATCACCTAAAACTACAAGAAAAAATAGTAGGCCCAATAACCGAGAAAAATTAAGTGTTGCAACATCATCGTTTTCGTTAGAGTCACCATTCCAGTCAGCCGATTTTGATTTTCCGATTTTAAAAGACAATTCTTTCAATTCTCACAAAAACACATCGTACTCGCGTAAAACAAAATGGAATAATGAAGGTAACAAACGCCACAAAAATTCAAGACATACATCTGAAGATGTAGCCCGTGAAAAATCTGCTGAAAAATCAGTTTTAGAAAATCTTGAAACGTTCGATTATTGATACTTGAAGTTAAGAATGCTTTAATCTTCTTTTATGCATTACAATAATTTATATATATTTTTTTAATCACTTAAAGTAACTCAAGCTAAATGATTCACTTCACTTAATTTTTACTCAAAATATTACTGAATAATTGTAATATATTCATGAGACCGTAGTAGAAAGATATTAATTATTAAAAGTAACAATTTAAAATTAAATTATGAATGAGACGAGAAAAATAGTTCGAAGTATAGATTTGTCTTTGACAGGATTTCTTTTTTCCATGATAGTAAGTACTCACTAACAATAAGAACTTACGTAGAAACTGCATCTAATGATATTTTAAATTTTTATTGAAATCGTTAAAGACAGAACTGGAAAACAAATAAGTTTCAGTAAAAATATAAAATCTTGACCATCTGTAAAAAATTAGATCGCATTAACGTTAAAATATTTTGTAAATATGTAGTAGCTCATTTAATAGAGAGTAATCAAGTAATTTTATCTCCTAAACATGTATTAGGGTAAGAAAACATCATTTTTATAAATTGTATTTTGTAATTACATTATTTGTATAAAAAATAAAAACGTATCAACGTGCATTGGTAAGATTACTAAAAAATGAATATCGGGTAAAAGGATTTTTGACTCGCCAATAATCGACTGTAATGATAACAAAATATTACACCATACTTTTCTTATATGTTACATTACTACTTCCGTGATATTAATTTTGTTACGGCAGATAGAGTAGAAATAACGGAGTTGATCTGTAATAATAAGTTGCGTGAACATTTGATAGTTTTCTTTTATGAAGTAATCTAACGAAATCTCAAAGTTAAAAATCTTTATTACTTCAAACGAAGGGCTTGGCAATTATGTACACAGATATCCCTCCTTTTCATTCTTTAAAATAAATATATAAAATACAGTTATCGTATAGAGTCAGTTCAATAGATCGTGAAAAGTCTTAGTAACTATGAAGCTCTTTCTGCTTGTAAGTGTAAATACTTTGAACCATATAACAAAAAATATTTCCACTCTGCTGCGCATATTCAAAACCACGAAATTACATTCCTTGAATAAATACGATAAAAACAAATTTCTAAATATAATATTTGTATATAAAACCACTTTCACTATTATTAAAATGTATATTTTTCATCAATTCCTACATAAAAATCATCGTGCGTTAAGATTATTTCTGCGGTAACCGCCTTAACGGTTGACGGAGCAAAAGAAAAGAGAGGTATCGCAGTTTACGGACAATACGGCCTGAATCCATATCCTGTGAATAACTTGCCAGAGCTCGGCAGCACTCAGTTTTGGAATCAGGGACTATTGGCTTCTTCTACGTGGGATTCTTCATTTTCCACGCTTTTAGGTCAAGCACCAATTCCAGCTCACAATTTGGCACATCAGGTAAATAATTATATGCTTAATGGTAATAATAATGAGTAATAAATAGGTAATTATTTGAAAAAAATTGCTTTTTAAATTGACGTACAAAAATCCATGGATTATTATATTCTAGGGGCATTATTTCAATGCACCACCGACTAGTGCTTCGCAGGATGTTTGGAATGCTATTCAACAGGCTAAAGAAGCCAATCAATTTGTTCGATTAGCGCAACAAAGAGTCGATGAAGCAAAGCAAGCAGCCATTCTCCAACAAAAAATCACTTTAACTAAAGAATCTGCTGCTCAAGAAGCTTCACGTAGGTATGCTTGTTTCTTTTACATTATCATTCATTCTACTTTGAGAAATGTAAATAAACATCATATTTACATGTAGATTGCAAGAACTAACAGCTCAAGCTGATGCTGATGCCAGGACTTCAGCTAAACAATTAGTGGCGGCACAGCAGAAACTTGCAGCTTTAAAGGATGCGGTCGCCGCAGCTCAAAGACTCGCAGCTGCCCGAGAAAGTGCTGCTGCTGCGGCCATACAACGTAATGCCGCTATTACGGCGGCTGAAATACGAAAACAGGACGTGGACAAGCAAATAACGCTAACTGAACGAGAAGCGCAGGTAAAATTTTTTAACTTTTTTCATTTTGATTACGTTAAATAAAAAATTAGCTTTGAACGAATAAAAAATTTAATTTTTCATTAATCTTAAGCGCATTAAAAAAAAAATACTTATACTATTTACATTTCAGGCAAGAAATGTAGGAGCATCAAAAGAAAATTTACTAATTCCTCTAACAATTTATAATGGTAGGGAACAGAAGACTTTTCCTATTTCAACATCGCACAATCCATGGGGTTAAGTCTTTTTACTAGTGAACCTTTATTAAAGATTTTTCTAATATTTTCTTAAATAATTTTGCTGTTTAATATATAACCTTCATCGAGAATAGTAATGTATACTGCCTTTGTTTGTATTATGACATACTAAGACCACTTTGTGAAATAAATTTTTTTTACTAGTTAATAAAATCGACATTTAACGTGTATTGTAAAACAAATTCTTATTCATTTTAATGTAACTCTACGACTTCATTTTTTATACATATACATTTTTAAACATACTTTTACTTTTATCTTGGAATTTATCACTAGTTATTCACCTGTTTACTTCTTAAAATGCGAAAATTTTATTATGATTCATTATTATTAATAATCATATATAACTAGATTCAATTCACCCCTTAGATTTTTGTATACGTACTCTGTCGCAATAGCTTTATGTGACCAGAAACGAATGTACTTGAAAGATTTATTCTTTTGAGTGTTATATCTTTACTTTGCTATTTTTATGAAACTGATAATTAACAGTGACAAGCTTGTCTTTTGGTTCTTGTCGAACTAGTTCGACGCGTTATGGTCTTCCGGCTTTGTACGTTGCATCTATATCCATCTTAAAACGAACAAATCTCCTTTTGAGAAGGGGTAAAGAGAAAAAGTGGTTACATGCATATCCATTATCTCTGTATAAAACGTATATTGATCCACGACAAGGCTTAGTTTATACTTTATCGTTGATTCGAAATAATAGCGTAGGTTATTGACGGCAAAATTATGTTATCAAGGGTAAGTGAAAAGTTACATTGAAATGTATGAATTAATAATTAGAATAAACGATGCGATCATTGTATCAGATTTTTCAAAACTAGTTTGAGGGCTCAGCTCTTAAGCTTCGTATTAAATAGCTTACACCACAAACTTTTAAGCTAAATTGAGCTTCATTAAATTGATTACAAAAATGATTATTTTGATCTCATCTTCTAAAAAATTGAAATAAATAAATTTTTTAGAACACGATTTTGTTTCTGCTGCTGCAATTTTTTTCTTTCAATTACGTATTGAGCTCGGACTCAGAAAGTTGGAAGTAAGTTTTGAACGGCAATTCATACTTTGAATAGTTTTAAAGGAAAAAGTATGATTACTTATAAAATGAAAAAGTTCTATAGAGTCTTTTGGTAACATTGGTCTTGATCACGATGGCTGGCATGGTCAAAATCATCATCGGGGATGGCATGCACATCATCACTATCATGCTCATGCCATACCTATAGGGACTCATATTCAAATTTCTAGACCTATTGTAATTCCTGTAATCAAAAATATAGGTAAGTTTTCCACACTTTCTTTTCATTAACAAAAAATGACTTGGATTATTTTATATAATTTCATCAAAACATTTTTATTTATCTTCAGGAGTTCCGGTGCACCAACCTGTCGCAATTCCAGTTCAGCATATAACCGCTGTAGGTGTACCTCAACCTTATCCGGTACACATACCCATAGCACAACCAGTGGCAGTTCCAGTGATAAAAACAATTGCAACAATTGTTGAGAAAAAAATACCTGTGCCAATTGAAAAAATAGTCCCGGTGCCAATTGAAAAACACATACCAGTTCCTATCGAAAAACATGTGCCCGAAGTTATTAAAAAACATTATCCTGTACATGTGCCTGTTTACAAACACTCTTTTCACTATCACAAAAGTCTAGGTTGGGATGAACCTTCAGTATGGGATGATCGTCGTTAAAATTTGTGAATGTAACAGATTGAGAAATTGAACAAGGTTCAAACGATTATTGTCAAATATGATAATTTTAATCAAAATAACTGAAAAAATTTGTTTAGCTATAGTATTTAGCATGTTGTACAAATTTAGTTATTTTTTAGCGAATAATAAATGGAGCTAGTTCAACTAATTATTTGTACAATTTTAATGAAATAAAATTTTTTTTAAAAACAACGAGAATCGCTTCTGAAATCTTTACATTAATTCCTTTAAATAACAAAGTAAAGGTTAACTCCCTCTTTTGGAAGGAAAAAAACTCTTTACAACAGTAAAAAACCTAAGAACGAATTCAAAATTGACTTGATTTAAAATTTTCATATTTTTATATTATACATGGGCGTGAGATAATAAAAACATGACTTTCAGACTATCTATGTACACTTAAAGAGTACATTAAAAAATGAGAATCCTAAAAATGGCAACCCCGTCGGTCCATCCCTCATGGATGGACAGGGGATCAAGTTGAATTTTTATTTTCTTATGTTATTCTGCTTTTCTGAGGTAAATATAAAAAATTGTTAAATCATGTTTTGTTTGTAAAATTTTGGTTTTTTCATATAGTCCATGAAAGAAGGTTAAATATTTTAAAACTTTTTCAGGATTAATAACTATTAATATGTCAACTATATTTACAATCAATTTTTATAATAAAGTGGGAAGTAACATTTTTCGTAACTAGATTCATAGTAATATTTTCAAGCCAATTTTCTATCTGCAATTTCAATAGAAGTTTGACCTCAGCAGAGAAGACGAAAGAATGAAATTCTGTACCTTTAAACTTTAAAAATAAAAAAAACTTTCAGTCATTTCATTACCTGTTAGTCTTTAGCGAAAAATCCTCGTATAACATTAAATCGTTTATATAGTGAAAGGGGGCGTAAGTCTAGTAGTGGGATATCACTCAATTACTTTAACAACAGTTTATAACTAGTAACTCTTTGAAAAGTAGATAGGATAGTCAGAAGGTCTATGCAGTTTCACTCACTTTATTTTAAAGCTAGCTCTTTCACGGTCATGGGTACAAATGTAAGTTGTTGACATAGTTCAAGTTACCCTTAAAAACATTTTTCGTTTGAATTCATAAAATATTGCAAAAATTATTTTTTCAAACAGATGTGCTCTTTGGCTTGGTTAATTTTAATAACAACAAACCATATAATCGTGTCGCTGGCTCAAGAACAAACGTTTTTTTCAAGTTTTGACAATCTATTAACAAAAGGACAAACCCATTATTCATTTCAACCAAAAATAGATCGATCCGATCACGAAAGTCAAGCTCAGAATTACGTTTCTCACTACAGCTCGGACAACATTTATACTAGCTTCGATCAATTGAATGATAGCAATAATGATAACGGTAATGTCGGAGATTTTGGCCCAGAGAAAGAGGACCAAGACGACGATGCACAAACGTCAAACCATGATTTGAGCGATCAACAGCAGGTGTCTGACTACCCAAGCTTTGGAGAAACTGACTATAGGACAAGGGGTGTTAGGAATTACCCTGATTTCTACGATCACCAACGAGCGAACTACGTACAAAGCGTTCCGCTAACCGAACACGTCGAAGTGACAAGACCAGCCGCAGTTCCCGTTTACAAGGAGATCGGTAATACAAAGAGCATGTGTACATATTTAGTTCGTATTCACAATCGTAATATCAAATCAATGTAGGGCATGTTCGTATGAAGGAATTGTATAATAGAAAGGGGTATATTTTAATTTGATGTATGTGTACTATGAAATTTATTTGTTTAGCTTAAATTTTACTTTAATGATCATCATTTTTCTTCTTTTAATCAGTTATCATAAATGTCATGTTTTAGGAATTCCAGTAGTTCAACCTTTCAAAATTAGTTTACCTCATCCTGTCGCAGTGGGGATACCACAGCCGTATCCAATTCCAGTACCAGTTCCCCATGCTGTACCGGTACAAGTTGTACGAACTGTACCTGTACCAGTGGAAAGAAAAGTGCCATTTCCAATTGAAAAACATATTCCAGTACCCGTGGATAAGTATGTACCGTATGCAATTGAAAAGCATATACCGGTGCCTGTGTACGAACCTTATCCTATCAAAGTACCATTTTACAAAACTATTTATCACTACAGGAGGGGATGAATAACAATAGACTGTACTAGTGAAATGTATACAATATTATAAAAATGCCCCCATTATTTATTCAAATAAATTTAGTGTAAACGCTAATAAATGTATAATTTTATTTATTATTTGCTGAAATATTTATATCAAAAATAAAAATGAGACGTCTGATATGGAACCAATTTTTTGACTATTCGAATAATCCATCTAGTATATCAGAACAAAGAGGACTTTTAAAACTTATTTTTTGTTCTTATAACCTTTGAAGTGTTTCAAAATTCGTAGAAAATTTTCTTTTTTGATTACAAATTTATCTATTGTTCATTTAAGGGGACCTCCCTCCTCCAAATTGAAAAAAATGTTTTTTCAACGATTTTTTTTAATATAATAAAACGACGTATCTTAATGAAACTTTTTATACATACTTTATTGACCTTATACTACATAAAAAAAAATTTTACAATTTTTTGCCAGTCAGTGTCGTCTGCTAAAATAATTTCAAAAAAACACGAAAAAACCGCGGCGGGAACGATTAAGAAAAAACCATTAATTCTTTCATCCTGAAATTTTAACACAACAATCTGTCCATATTACTGTTCAGAATGAATAAGAATGAAATTAATGGTGAAAAAATAAAGAAATGGCAGCGTTTTTTCGAAAATTGTTTATATCTCTAAGAATATTATGCCGATTTTTCCATTCTAGTTCTTTCTGAGCAGTAATATGGGTAGATTATTGTGTTAAAATTTCAGGGTTATAAAATGAATGGTTTTTTCTTATTCGTTCACCCCCTCGGTTTTTTTTTGTATTCCTTTAAAGCAATTGTATCAGACGACACTGGATGGCAAAAAATTACAAAAAATTTTTTTTATGTAGTATGAGGTCAATAAAGTATGTATAACAAGTTTCATTAAGATATGTCGTTTTGTTCTATTCCAATTAAATCTTTGAAAAAACATTTTTTCATTTTAATTTGGAGGAGGGAGGTCCACTTAAAGCACATTTTTACATTTTTTTAAAGTTTGCAATGGTATCTTTCAGATATGAGAAAAGTAGAGAAAACATGGGTGCAACGTTTAAGTCACTTTTCTGCTCTCGTTAACAGTGAAAGTGTATGTATTTCTCATGTTATGCTAGAAATAATTTGTTTTAAATAAGTTGCATTACTATTTTTCCATTATTTATATATTTATTACTTACACGGTTAAAATGGATATAACTGACCTAGTAACAGTGTTAAACGAATGAAACTGAACCCGTACGTAAAAAAATTTCGTAATGAATCATTTTGATCTCTAACAGGTTAATTGATTCTTTGCAAGATAAACTATTATTTTATAATGAAACAGCAACTACAATACTCAAAAATACCACTCAATTTTTATATTGAAGTGACATTTTTAATCTTTTTTCTGAATTCATGACGCTAAATGAAATTGTTAAAAATTTTGTGAATAATTAATCATCTTTTTTCATAAATAGAGCAGAATTATTGATTTTGAAAAAATATGCGTTGAAATTTCATCAGAAATCCTACACAGCACTTCTTACTTTCTCTATTTTACAGTTGCAAAGAGATTTTGATGGTATCTTAAGCAATATAGTTATAAAGAAAGCTCTGTATGGTGTAAGTAGTTATCAGTTTTACTTTTTATAAAACTTCAATTGAATGGTTCTTTCATATGAAGAAGGCTTGGATTGATTTTCTTATTTATTGCGCTTCAATCAATTTTTTTTATATGTATGCTTTTGAGAAATGGCTTCCTATAACATAGCCATCTCATTGAAGTATCAAGTAATTCTAGTTTTTTCTTTTGGGAGCACAGGCTTCAAGTGAGAACATTTCCGTGATTATCTAATACAACCTTTAATCGAAGGAGGGGTTTCAAGCAGATTAGAGAAAGGAGGTACACTTGTGATAAGTATATAAAGAAACGTCGTTGAGAACACATGACACTATTTTAACCCTTTACAAGCCGTGACGCACTCCATCATGTCTAAAATTGTAAGAAAAAGTAAAAAAACGTTGAAAAGAGACCCCATGATATGCTTTTATCATTATTTTTAGAAATTTGTAAATTTATCAAAGATGTATTACTGTGTATGTTTTGTAGCTTTTGCTGTTAATTTTAAATATATTTGCAACTATTACATTCGCAAGTGATAATTTGGATCATACATACGAAGAAAAAACGCATCCTGTTCCTGTGCCAGTTTACAGAAAGTTTGGTAAATATCAATTTGAAAAAGATTTTTAACTTTCAATTTATGTATGTTTCAACATAAATTTAATTTTATAGAAATACCAATACCGTTGCCAGTACCTGTAAAAATAGATAAAGAAATTAAAATTCCAATACCTCAGCCTTATCATGTAGCACTTAAGGTACCGCATCCTCACCCAGTGGAAATCATTAAGCACATTGCAATACCAATTGAGAAGCTAGATCCGTACATTGTAGAAAAAAAGGTAATCAATAATATTTACTTCATTTGTTTTATATGTCTGAATATTTTATTGATATTGTAAAAGGTTTCACAGTTGTGGTTAAATTAAAAAATTGTAAATCTACATATATGATTGATTGAGATGAAAATTATATCTGAAATGTCTATGCAATTTTTCAGACAAATTATTTAGAGATAACATAACGTAATAATCAGTGATAATAATAGCTTTTTATACACTATTCAATATTCACTATAATTTAATTGAAATCGATGAAACGTTCCATTGGTATTTGAAAAAAAATTGTGAATAAAATATTTTCTGAAAGCCTCCAGTATGTAAATAAGCTTGCAGTGTTAATAATTTCTACGTGAGAGAGATGTTGAGGGAGAAAGAGAAACAAAGAGAAAGAAAGAAAAGAGAATAATAAAGAAAACTAACGCTCGTTCAATCCTTCAAATGAAAGTTCGCCTACACCGAAGGCAACCCGTTCCGCACTGGAGGCTGCTCTGACATTCGCACGAAAGCTTCGGAATCAGTGCAATTGCATACATGTATATATATACACTGTACAGACGGTTACACGCACATAGCTGTACATATGTATTTACGAACTAGGCCAATCGGGAAAAACAAAAAGTTTCGCGCGTGCAAGCAACGGCTGCGCAAAAGCAATCGGCATATTGTGTAAGTTTACTAATGTTTTATCCTTTTTTTTTCACTTTTTTCTGCCGTATGTCTGCAGGTACCCTTTTTTGTGGAAAAACCTTATCCCGTTTACATTGAGAAAAATTCCGGTTACCATCGCAAAGCCGTATCCGGTTCACGTACCAGTCTACAAACATGTCATCGTGCATACGAAAAAGATAAAGGGTTGGTGGTGAGACTTTCATCTGCCTTTAAGTTACTTGTTTGACATAGTTTTCTTTTTACTATCAATGTATCTATCATTATTTTAAAATGATTTTGTATTTATATTAGTCAATTTTAGAATATCAACTGTATAAATATACGTAAATTAAAATTTCATAGTGATTATAAATACCTGGTCTTTTAACCCGTACCTTAATTTATTAGATTCTGTTTCGAGATTATTTACTTTACTTCCAACGACTAAATAGTAATCAATTGCATTAAGTAAAAATGATTATTCACAATTGATTAAATATGTGAACCGTCGTTATTGACAAAATTAAAGTCATAAAATAAGAAAACAATTATAAGACATTATAATCCTTCATAGGGTACGGGTACTTATTTTAGTCGAATTTCGATATGTATTATTATTATTATTGTATGTAGCTTTTGTAATATTTTAAGAAATTGCATATAAAAATGCTGTATTCTTGACCAACACACGTAGTACTTCGAAATCCTGGAAAAATCATAATTTAATAAAATATTCTTAAAAAAAAAAAGAATAAATGTGCATCATACCGTGTTCTACCGAAAATATGTAATTATGTCTTATGTTATTTTTTCGAAAAATAACTAAATGCTTCATTTATGGAAAAAGGTTTACATTTTTATTTTTAACGTATAGTGAAATCATCAAGACATATTGGCTGTATCAGAAAATCGGACTGTAACTAGAAAATCGGATGTACGGTTCATTATATTTTCCAATAGAGGGTAACCACACCAGTGAATGACTGAGTTGTTGTTTATTAAGTTTTGAAGAACTGCAAAAATTTAATAATTGTGATTAAAAAAAAAACTAAATATATCATCGCATCAATTAAGTTTTCAATCAATTAAAAATATTGAAAAATCATTTTAGCATCATGAATATTATTAAAAATTGTGATTTAATGTGTCCCCTCGAAAACGCGAGTTTATGACCACTTGCAGAAAACATCTCCATTGAATAACCGGTCGACATCCAGTAAATGACCGATACAATATCGTACGACGTTTTTCCAAAATTAAACATTACAGTTCGTTTAGATAATCAATACTATTCGTAAATAATTGTTACTAGTTCAGTAGTGGTCGAATCAGTACTGATTGAAATGGTTTTATTTAAAAATTAATACAAATAGATTAATAACAAACTTAACCTGTATACTATTGTATTCTTAAAGAATCGGTCACTTATTGGTCGTATGCAAATCGACGCTTCGTACCAGTGAATGACCACAAAAAATTTTCAATATTTTTTTATGCGTAATTAATACAACTTATTTGTTGTATTTAACAACTATTATAAATTAGATTAACCCATTAACGCGCAAAAGTGCAATTTTGTGCATGAATTTTCCGTTGTAAAAAAATTATAGATAAACTTAAAATATTTTCTTGAAAATCCATACCCAGGGGTTTTTCAGTATGCTCTTTCAGTATCCGGTGTTATTTTTGCGATAAATAAACATTATCATCGTTTATTTTGCCATTAAAAACAAAAAACGTGATTTTTTGACTCAAAATTTTTTTTCAAAGTCGATTTTCTACCTTGCCTTGCCTTCGGAGGGTTCCCATAACACCAGAAATCGTGCACTTTTTCTCTGAACCTTCAAAAAATGCGCTGCCGCGATTTTCATCTTGCCCCTATATTTCTAAAATGGCGAAT